GTTACGATTTCGTACACTTGCGATAGAAAAAACGTAACAGAGCTAAAGCATGAATTAATGAACAATGCACCGAAGGCTTGTCAATTATGCAAATATCCAATACTTTGGGGATTAAAGATTCCACTTTTGAAATTTTGATAGGATTTTAAGAGAAAGTCTCATTTTATTCAATAAATTAACCACAGATAAATTAAACAAATATAATCTTAACTTTGATTAAATGGAAGGATAATTTTATACAAACCACATTTTTTAAACTGAATCACAACTTTTTCTCATTTTATCATGTATATCTTCAATTTTTTTTGCCGTATTCTTGCATTTTGTTTTTAATGATGATTTTTGTTCCAATATTTTATTAGCGTGTGGAAAATATATTATCAAACATTTGTATACATTGTTTTTCTTGCTTATTTAAAGTACGTCTTTAATGCCCTCCTACTAATTTTTTTACCTTCATCAAGGATAAAATAAACTAATCAATAGAGGTTGGGGTAACGGTGGCAATGAGCGGGGCTTGCGAGTGGCCAGACTCAATTGCCATCCCTACTAGTCGTACTAAGTGAAATAATAGACATGCTACTGGGAGGCATACGAGGAAAGGAAATGTTGCACAAGTTTATTGTATGTATGTATGCATGCATCTAGTGAAGTCGAGGGATATTAATAAATTTTATGCAGTTTCCATAATAATTATCAACAAATACATATAGATCCCAAGAAAATAAGCAGAAAAATTATTCAAGAAATAGCTTTACAAATCCCCTAATCATCAAAGGAAAATGTCAACTTAGAAATTCTGAAGTATCCTTCAAGATTAAAAGAGCATGTTTGGCTGATCGTAAATGCTAGAAATGGCTTCTTTTCNTCAAAGGAAAATGTCAACTTAGAAATTCTGAAGTATCCTTCAAGATTAAAAGAGCATGTTTGGCTAATCATAAATGCTATAAATGGCTTCTTTTCAGCTTTTCTTGTCAAGAAAAGCTGAAAATAAGCCACTTTTGACTTATGTTCTAGCATTTTAACTAAGCATTGGCTCAGATCCCACCATTTGAACAGGCTGCCATGTTTTCATTAAGCTCGAATAATTCACAGCCCCAATTGGCCTATTACTTGCTGCTTGTTCCAATGTTTGCACTTGTTTTTTGAGAAATTTAAGGTAATGAACAGCCTCGTCCAACATAGAAGCTGTGTCCATTTTTGTTCCTCCAGGCACAAGTCTCTGCAAAATTCTTATTCTCTCGCTTATTCTTTCCCTGCGGTGGCGCGCCGCCACACTCTGCGGATCTTTGGAGATTTTCACGTTCTTCCTCTTGGGTGGCTTCACTGAAACTGGATCAATGTGAATTGGCTGCATCATTGCTATACGAAAGATCATTTCTCTCATGGCTTCCATAGAGTTTCTTTTCTGTAACGGATTTGTGCTGCTGGATAAGCCTGTGTTCCAAGTGTCACAATTTGGCCCGGAAAAATATGGTGGTGGTGGTGGTGGTGGTGGTGCTACTTCGATGGAGAAATCGAAATCTGATGATTCAGTTAGGTCTTCATAATAAGGGCAGGGGAATTGAGGAACCCTATTCTGCTGCATTGTCCATGGCAGCGTTTCCATTTGGTTTTGTGATGATAATTTCATTAGGTTATTATAATCATCCATGAATAGAGATAGATAGATAGATATAGAGAGTGAGAGAGATGTAGAGAGAGAATTCTGTGCTGAAAGACCTTAAAGATTTAAGGTTTAACCCTACAAGTGAAAGGGGCGTCAGTGTAAAGGATATATGTAGGAAGGTTTCTACTTGTGTGACCAATATATCATATAGTAGCACCACTGTACCACAATTATTTTCTTCCCTTTGGGGAGGTGGGGGTGGACTATAATGCAATTCTTACCGACCAAGATATTATATAATAATATACACCTACATAAAAGTCTCACGCGGTCGACTGATCAGTTGGGTTACAGCATTTGTAAGTTTTTCAATTTTTATTAATTAAAACGTGTTACTTACTAAGGTTTAAAAAGTACGTTTAGTTATTTTTGATTTTGATAGATTATGTTTTCCCGTCTCTCGAATATGACCTTAAACAAACTAGTTTATCAAAAAAGAAGAGGAAGATTTAGTTTTGACATTTGCGTGTAGGCATCTTGTTCGTATTTAATTTAAGATTGTGCAAGACTCGTAATAAAAAAATCATCATTCATCCCTACAATTTATTATTTTATATTGACGAGTGAATCTAGCTTGTTTATGGTTATGTCATACGTACTTAGGCAAACCAAATATCTCATACTGCATTTTTGCATAAAATTAAAAAGAATTGGATTATTTCTGCATCTTTTTAACGGGAGACTAGATTGTTGAGACAAGTGATAACAGGGACGGATAGAGGGGGAGGGGGGCCTCCCCCGGCTAATTTTTTTTTAGTTAGAAAAAA